AATTTGTCTAATAATGTTCGGAAACATTAATTTTTTACAATAAATTAGATATTTTTGGAGAGATTGTTGTTTTTTGAGTAAAAAATTACATTTTTGTTGATAATTTTTCGCTTCTTCCTCTAAAATTAGTGAAAATTAAATTTAAGAGGATGTGACGTCATTATTGAGTCGTTCATTATGAATTTTGCAACAGTTTTTATTAAAATACTCGTAAAATTCAATAAAAATGCGTATTTTTATATTCTATAGCTAAAATGACAATAGATGGAGCCACTTGACATCGTTATAAAGTTATTTCGATGAATAAACACAAAGTTATGCTGATGGTGAGGACTTGTTGGTTGGCTGAGTAATTGGTGCACGCACAGATGTTGCGAGGCACCTTGCTGTGCCCTAATGCATTCGTCGGCTACTAATATCCGACAACAATGCCCTCCGAATGCCCAGCCAAATGAAAATCTAATTATATCTACAAAACGAGTGTTGAATTAATTTACTTCATCTATCAAATTTAAATTAAAGAATCACACAGTTACAATTTACAAAATAAAATATAGATTTTAAAGAAAAGTAAATTTCTACATTTTTGTTCATAAAAAGTGTTTAAACAATAATAATTTTTAAAACTTTTTATTTTCATATACAGAATTAAATTCTGAATCTACTACTGAAAGAAAAATAATTCTATCTATTTGCATTCCAAAGTTATTAACAAAAAATTATAACAAAACATATTTTTGAGAAGATTTTTGTAGTTTTTTGTTTATAACTTTTAAGCGAAAAGAGATACAGAGTTGGTTTTTGATTATTTAGACGTAGAATTAAATTCTGCATCATATAGTTTTTGAAATTTTCAAAATTAATAAATAAATAAAAAGTTATTTGATTTTGAAACAAAAATTAGTAAAAAAAGTATTTATTTTATAATTATGTGTATTTGTAACCGGAGTTAATTGTTTGCACCACTAAAGCATGAAATAGAAAATTGAAGCGGAAACGCGATCTTTATCTTCGGGATATTGCGCTCCGAAAGGACTCCGAGGGTGAATTTGCATGAACAGACGAGCTGTTGATGTAATTAATAAGTCAAAACTATCAAGATCGAGCTGCTCGTAAATTATCTAAACCGTTGCAAAGTTACACTCAACTCAACTTTATACATTCAAATTTAAATTATTTACCTACCTACACTTACATTCACAGGGTGATAACACAAAAAAATAAAAATAAAAATAAAAAACTCTCGGCGTTTTAATTAATCGCGCTTGTTTACGAATCTAAACGCGTGAATACGCGCGTAATTAAGATTTTTCAATGGATGATTTATGAAGAATTTAGCTGCGTCTTTAGTTTCCTAAAGTAACAGTACCGCTAATAAGCTTTTAATCTACCGACTGCCAACCTGGTGGTCATCGTCGAAGAATCGAAATCGGTAGCTGGTAGGCCTACACGCGCTCGTTTGTTACTTCTTCAGACATCGATCACTGAATGCAGCGAACGATTTATTCGGCAACAATTGGGCTTAATTTTGTATAAAACGCTTAACATGTTTAATCATCATCAATTGCATTTGTGTGGGATTCATTTCGGCTACTAGAACTACATTAACCTCAATTTTAAGCTACTAGGAGTGAATAGTTGGAAAATTAAACGTTGTTTTCAGAACAAAATGGTAGAAATTTCAACTGAATAAAATATAAATTAATTATTAGAATAGAAATTTATTGAAACATGCATAGAAATATTAATAGTTTACAAAAAATATGATATTTTTATAGAAATTTTTGTTTTTTAATGGAAAAAATTGATTTTTTGTTTGTATTTTTAAAATTCGCGCCAAAATACATGACGTTATTGTTGAGTAGTTTGGTTTCAATAGTATTTAACATATTTTAGCGTTTTTTCTGTATTTTTTATATGTTTTTTGTTCAAATTTTTGTAAAAATTATGTTTTTCTTAAAAATTTAAAGATTTGGCGTTTGTTATGACGTCAATATTGAGTTTATTAGACAAAATTTGTGAAAAAACAGACAAATTTAACAAAACACGTTTGAGGTTATGCATATTAGGGATGTGACGTCATTATTGAGTCTTCCACTATGAATTTTACAAGAGATTTTATTAAAACACTCAATAATTATAATAAAAATCTAATTTTTGCTTTTAAATCTGCTCTAACCTCAATTTAAAACTACTATTCACATAAAACTAAAATTAAATGATGTTTTGAGAACAAAATGCTAGAATTTCAACTGACAAAACGGATCCAATTAGGGCTCTGGTGGAAAAGAATTGTGTGTTTGAAAGCTTTTGTTGTGTTGTGTTTTTGTCTGTGCCGCCTGCGCCATCCAAAACCGAAATCGATGGTTCCGCGTGGTTCCGGGCGGTGTGCTGCTTTTAATTAACAAACAAGCAAGAAGCGAGCGCGCGCGCAAACGGAAATTAATTTGCATTTAATTTGTAATAGAACCGGACGAACGGAAAGCGCTTAAAGACTCTTTCGGTGTTCGCACCGTGCACGACAGATAACAAACACAGCGCACCACAACATAGACGTCGATATAATTAATTAGCCGGCTAACAATGCCGGCGCTGAGGTGATAATCGACCAATTAAAGCGTTACCAACCGAAAACGCTTTTATCAATTCGAACAATGTTTTTGTATAGACACATACTCATAATACAATAACGATTAAACCATATGTCCATAAATTTCACCCTTCGATGGTAAATTTTTTATTTTATTTCGAAGACAATAAGAGATGATTATGTGACTGTTGCACACCATACACCCACGCATATATTTTTTGTGCACGTCATTATGTGATGTTTAATGTGTGTTTTGTTTGCCCAAGGCATGCATAACGCAATTTATTAAGGGCTTTTTTATGTTTGCGCTTCTTTTGTGAGAACCGCCGCGTTCGTTATTCGCGTAATGCCCGTAAAACATTGTATCGTTCGTGGCCATTGGCGAGTTAAACGCTTGTTGCTCGACGGCGATGACTGGCCGAATTAGATGACAATAGGTTAGGTGTCTGCTTAAATACGGATGAATTCGTGACGGTGGCGTACCGTGCGCAACGTTTTAATCTAACTTAAACTGTTCACTCGCTAAATACTAAATAAATAATTATTATACCTAATTTTTTTTCAGCTTCCATCTGTAAAATACCAGTTTGTAGACACAAAAAGTGGTATTTTATATTTGAACGGTTAAGAAGTGAGTAAAATACATTATCTACGTGCATTATCTACGGGACGGAGCTTGCGCATGCGCATTTGCCTATAGAGCAACACAAGACCGTATGAAATGCCATGCGACGTAAGTCAAACACGTGACTAAAATTATTAAACACTCGATTTCTTAAACTAAATCAATCTCGTGAATAAAATCCCCATTTAACCACTTGATAAATTATTATACTAATTTAACATTGCATTGCCATTTATGAAACGGCGTCGTTAATGTGAGAATTCAATGATTAATTATAATTATATTACGAAAAATCAATAAGAGCGACGCGCGGGTATTAGCAGATGCCAAAGCGGATGAAATGCGAATGCGCCACTTAATAATAATCAATCGGTGGTAAGCTTGCGGAGCGAATATTTTAATTGCGGCGCGGCACAGGCGGCAAGAAAGTCTCTTCGTCGTCGTCTTGGTCGCGCAGTCGTAACATGTATAATTATAATTACATTTAGGTTGCGCTTAGTGGTTTTAATTCGATTTCCAAATATGGATGGGTTGGCGTCGGCCAGGCCATCGATTTGCGCTGTGGTCGATCCTTTGTGGATGAAATGTAACAAGTATTCATTATACATTCGTTGATTTTCTTCAATTAAGCAAAACTTTATTGATAAAAACAAAATATTTAGAGTTTTTCAGTGGAAATTGTAAATTTTACAAAAATTGAGAAATAATTTTTGATTTTTTGTTTTAAGTGATTTTATTTGATGTTTTGGTAAAATATTTAAAGTTTTTTGCATTATAAGATTGTCAATTAAATTCTCTTTAATTTGACATATTCATCAATATTCTACAATAAATATTCTCAGAGATATTTCACTTTAATTAAAAACAAATTTTTCAAAAAAAAATTACTTTTAAAAATATCAAAATAATTATTTTATTTTAAAAGCACTAAACTAAATTTAATTAACCACCTTATTATATCCCTAACGTGTGTCGATTGTGTGTCGATATAATTTAATTTCAATAAAACCGAAATTAAACCGAATTCAATAGCGTGCTGGCGCGTCTCGTGTGACATGTGTTCATAAATTACGCCAACGACATTCGGGTGGAGAGTCCGAAATAAAAAACTCAAACGAATTAGGGACAACTAATTGCCACTTCCGGTGCGGTGGTGCATACACACACGGCGGACGTGCGTCCTCAACACCTAGCTAGATACACTTGACAACAAAGGTACTTATATAGCCACAGAACAACACAAACCACAATTAAATAATGAATAATATTCCTCTTGAGTGCCTTGAGCAACCAACGATCAAGTAACAAACAAATACTTCCGGTTTAAAACAATTTCAATCAAAAATTAAAAATTTCTCTTTAAAATGGCTAAAAAGTATTTATTTATGTTTAATTTTGTTTAATTCTGTTTGATGCGTTGATGTTTGTAGTTTTTGTTGTTTTCCTATTATCCTCATTGGTTCCGGTCGGCGTGTTTGTTTTGTGAAACGCGCTTTTACACTTAAATCACCGGCAATCAAAGCGAATGCGCGCGCGGCGGTTAATGGTAATCCAGCCATGCGATAAAGCAACGCCGTCGTCGTGTCCCCAGTGCGTGGAAAAAATCCCAACGCCCTTAATGAAGCAATTTATTAGCAAGAATACGCTCGGATTTGTTCGATTTTATCAAATGCACTCAAACAGCTGCAAATGCACTCCAAGAAAAAAAAAACAAAAAAAATTAAAAGTAAAAACTCAATGATTTAGAGTACATAATTTTATTTTCTACATATGTACATCGGATAATTATGTATTTCTATAAGGTATGCTAGTTTGTAGTCAATGCACATTTGTTTCCATGTTATCATCTTGAATTGTTTATTTTTTCGCTTTTACTTTGTACTATTCGAACGCAAATTGTTTCCAGAACTTATGTACAAAAACACAACATTTGAGAATATCATTTTAATACACATATTGTAGGAGTACTTATTATCGTTTAATATTTACAATAGACTGCGGGGCGTTGGTTTTCATTTAAAATGTGTTACAATTATCCGTTAAAGCCTTGCTAATAATTACAATTTATTACAGTCATAGTAGGTATTCAAATTGGATAGCAATAATACTCGAAGGCGTTTGAAACAAACATTTTTCTCTTTTCCGTCTAGTTTTTATTACACAACACTTAAAAGCAAAAACGAGAAACGAAATAAAGTACCATTGTAGGTAATAAGTTAGGTTAGGTTGCCGTCGCGCACTGGATACGTCCATTTTTACACTTTATCACAATTAAAGTTTTTGTTTTTCTTCAAAAAAATTTTCAATTTGTGTTGATTGGGACTATACGTGGATAGTATCCTCATCATCGCTGGGTGAGCGCCGCCCGGTGGTTCCCGGTGAGCCAGGGTCCAAAGGTGCGTCGGGGCTGGGTGAGCGTGGGGGCGGCGGTGCGTCTCCTTGATTGCTATAGTAACTAGATAAGGTACTAAGTGAACTGCTTGCGGCCAGGAGCCCAAATGCGCGCTGGGGCCGGGTAGGCCTAGACCCATGCCTACACCGGGTGGGTAGAGGCGGTACGGTAGTGGTTTTGGAGTGTGACGGCGGCGGCGGCCGCTGCTTGACGATAGTAGATGTCGGCGGCGCTCGGCGCTGCGGCGCTTTGGCCTGGTTGTGGGGGTACCAGCAGCCGTATGGGGGTGCACCGTAGAGGCGTTGGAAGGCGGCGTAGTTGCCTGCTTCGGCGAGGAGTTCGAGGCCCACTGCGGTTTGACGCTTCCATTTCGTTCTGTAATGAATAAGAATAAATTTATTAGTTAGGAATAACGGTCTATAAAAGAGTTTTGTGGTTTTTGTTAGGTTTTTGTTGTAACTTTTAAATGCAAAGAGGTAGAGAGTTGGTTTTACTTATTTGGATGTAGAATTAAATTCTGCATCTTTCTAATTTTCATTTTTCAAAATTTATAAATAAATAAAAGTTATTTGATTTTTAAGTAAAAATTAGTTTAAAAAATATTTTTAATGTTATTGTTCATAACTATTGTTTAAACAATGATAATTTTAAAACTTTATATTTTCATATTCAGAATTTAATTCTGTATCTATTGCAGAAAGAAAATAATTCTATCTCTTTCATTTGTGAATTATTAATGAAAAGTCTAAAAAATCACGTTTTTAATAATCTTAGACCTGTATTCTTCACTATTGCCAAAACGGGCCCTTGAAAATTTAAAATAATGACATGGCTTGTTTTGATATAATGGCCGCAAGCAGGAAAATAAAAAAGGCGGCAACTGTCGAAACAATCAATAATGCGGCATTAACAGGGGGCGGATATCGTCTATCTGGCGCTGGCGGAGATGCTGCGGGCGCGTAAAATTATGCGAAAATTGCCGCTTCATTGTGGTGTGGTCTGGTCTTTCCGGGTTATTAATTTGGCACTGCGGCGCGGTGAAAAAGGCCGCAACGCAAATTAACGTGTCGGTGTGTTTTCGGTGGTTGGTCGAGGGTTGTTGGCGCCTTCCGGGCGCGCCGAGAAGCAAACCAAAGCGTAAACTCCAACACCCACACACCCACACACACATTTTGCAACGTGTAGATTTTTTCATCCCTTAGTTGGCTGATTATAAGTAGATTAACCACAACAGAGGTAAACGCGGTAAACAAACGAAACGAGGCGGAGATATGTAATACGTACACAAAGTTGACAGTCATCCTGTAATAGACTGGGCGTAACGCAGACAAAAATTTAATCAAGCCCGCAAACGCCGTAATAAAACTAACCGATGTACCAAAAAAAAAATAACACAAAGTTTAATAACAAGCGCCGAGAAGCGGAGAAGCCAATTTAAACACCTTAAAAGCTTTTTACCCGAGGTACTTTGTTCTTGGCTAAAACTAACTGTATTTATAAGCATTGTGATTCCTAAACGTTTTAATGATTCCTCACTTGACGTGACTGTGACTTTTCGACTCGGCGTCAAACGCCGCCGTGACGAATCTCGAAGCAAACACATGCTGATGTTTTTGAATTTCCAAAAATCATTTAGTCACCTAATTGCGGGGCCCGAGAGCAAGTGCACCCGAAAAGTGCTGACATGCCGCCGCTGGTCTGGCGCCGACAAACAATTATCCTTTCATCGGCCGCTGCGAGACACCCGATAATCAATCCCGAAACGGCAATAAATGCAAAGCAAATTGATACAGCGCAAGCTCACGTAATCACCGCTTCGCTCCATCTTCAACTCGCGGTGATATTTCATTACATTTCACAATTTCCAGGCTCTGAAAGCGTCTAATACACTAATAGCACATTACGTCTGAGTAGTCGACGCATGCGCACTCATTTCACATTCGTTTACATTTCGTGGAATTCATGTGAACATGTCAAATAATAGAATTTTGTGTTTACACCGAAAATTAGTTTCTTTTCAATAGTGCCTAATGTCTAATGTCTAATGAAACACTTACGACGACATTAGCGCCGAACAAAATAAAGTTTAAGCACATGTGAATTCTCGCGCTTAATGGCTTGATACTATTTATTATTATGTAGAATTGTAGACAAACAAACGGTGTCGGAAAAGCATGTTGATGGCCAGTTAATTGAATTAATTCGTTTGTTGTACGCGTTTTTTTTCCATGAGGTGGCTTGGTGTGTGTGGGAAATTGCTTTTAACGCGTTTATTGTTTCGAATAGTTTGTTACACGTTGGATTATTATGTGCGTTAAGTATATCACCGAAAAGTATAACAACAACAACAATTGATGGTGATGTTTCCAGGCTTTTTGTGTTACAAATAACAAACAAATCTGTTGACTAAAGAGTGATTAGTGCTAAAAACTAAATTTTTTGTGCTAAAAACTAAATTTTTGTGAGAAATGTTAATTTGGCGCTGGTTTTCGAGTGTAATTATTTTAGATTTTGAGAAAAATCATTAACGTTCGTTTTAAAATATTTTAAACAACAAAATTTTGCTAAATTAGGTGTTTTTGGTGATTTTCGGGGAAAAATGGGAAAAAATGAAATTGTTGTGATTTTTCATCAAAATTTTTAGTTTTTGCGATAAAATTTAAAATATTTTATGTAATTTCTTGAAATTTTCTTAAAACGTAGATAGATACAATATCTGTCACGTTATTATAAATTATTCTGAAATTTTTCACTAAAAATGAAAAAAAATTAACGAAATTTGACAAAACGTAAATGTAAATTTTCTCGTTTTTTATTAGTTTTTCTGATGTAACTTTTAATTTGTTGCTAAAAATATCAAAACTATTAACATTCAACAGATAACTAAATTATCCATCACTCTAGATTAAATTTTTCTAAAATTTTTAAATATTTCCCCAAAATATTTACATTTTTCTTCATATTTTTACTCTAAATATGAAAAAAATCGTTAAAAGTAAAGTAACAATTATTATTTTATGACCATGTGCCTCCCCGCCGCAGTGCGCGACGATTCATAAACGCAATTAGTAACGCTCGGCTAAATTACTTAATCATTTCGCGTGTAAGGGCAATTATAAAATAATGTAAGAACAACCGGCCGGCCGCACGTAACTGAAATGTTCACGAGGTATTTTGTTAGCGCCGGTTGCGCTCGCGTTTATTAGCCCGCCAAAGGGGTGGCGGCCGGGGGGATGATTTATATCCTGGAAAATCAGGCGCGGCGCGGAGCAGAAAAAAAAAAACCAGCAGCAACCACCATGTCGCATGGAAGGAAAAACGTCGTCCGGCGCGGCGCCTTTTATTGCTCGCGCGCATTTGCATAACACACGCGCGCATTTCACGGGGTCGCACGTCGAAATCTCGGCGTGCTATACTTTTACACATTTACACATTATACATTACACATTGAGTTATTGCCCTTCATAAAATCAAGAATTACGAGTACTAGTTGTAACGTTTTTCCACAGTTTTATTAAGTAATTATTCCTGATTAAGAGCTTAAAAATAAAAACATTAAAAAAAATTAACTTATTTAAGTAGAAAATAATGTTTAATAGGTTTACATTGTCAACCTTGCAATTTATAAATTTATTTATTTAAGTTTCGTGTTGAGAAAATTGTAAAAATTAAAAAAAAAATAAATAAAAAAATTCTTAGTTTTTTTATCATAAAATCTTAAGTATTGCATGGAAAATCTTGAAATTTGTTTTAATGCATTAGTAACTACACTGCCTTCTGTTCTAGAATGAAAAATATTTAAGTTTTTGATATAGAAATGATAAAATTTGAGTTTTTTCTTTGAGAAAATGATAAAAATTGAATTTTTTTTGTTTTTGGCGAAAATATTTTTGGTTTTTATGGCATAAAATTCTAACTATTGCATCTATAACCTCAAAACTTGTACTAATGTATAGTTAATTAATATATCTTCCATCCTAGTATAGTTTTTGACCCAAAATTTTTATCAAAACGTCCAAAAATTTAAGTTTTTATTACCAAAACTAACAATTTTTTTTCAATTACTACACGCACAACACTGCTTAAAACCAAAATCATTTAAAAAATAAATTTAAAAAATATTCATTCAAGTAGAAAATCATTTTTGATAGATTTAACTCTGTCAACCCAACGTTTTATAAATTAATTTATTTGTAATTGCAATTGTAAATGCATTGAGGTGTTAAATTTATTCCGAATTGCACTTTGGAGTACCGAGTGTGTGAGTACCGAGTACTTATTGTCATATAATGTCATCAGTAGCCGCAGTTAATGGTTAGTTGCATCGATAAATAGCTGGGAATTAATAATGCCCGCGCTCTGTACGCCACACCGTGTAATTTTTTTTCTCTTCTTTTCTACTACCTCTTCGGTAATGTTTGTGTGAATGTAAAACGCGATCGTAAAAAATGCCAACGGGTACCGCTTGCATTCTGCCTAATGTGATTATAATACATGCGTTCGCATATGTCGTAATGTCACATGCACCTATTGGTAAGAGCGGAGGTATAAGTACTTCAAGTACCGAGTACTTATTCAAGTTATTCAGCGCATTCAACGTGAGCATTTGTCGTGTTTGGCGTTTTTCGTGGCGGCAAAACGACGGATAATCGTCGAAATGAGATTATTTTATTGCTTAAGAAAGATATTATTGTTTGATAATAGTTTAAACAAGGAATTTGAGGTTATTTTGGGTAATTTAGAGTGGTAAAGTGGGAAAAATTGAAGGTTTTGTGTTTTTGGTATAAAAAATTGAGTTTTTTGGCATAAAATCTAAATTATTGTGTGTAAAACAGTCAAATTAGCTTTAAAATAAAAGTAAATACAATGCCTTCTATTTTAGTATCAAATATATTAAAATTTTCGTGCAAAACCTGAGAAAATTTGAGTTTTTCGTTAAGAAAATGGTAAAAAATGAATATTTCGTGTTTTTGACTAAAAAATTTCTTGTTTTTGAGGCATAAAATCTTTATTATTTCTCGTAAAATCTTAAAATTTGTTTAGAAATGTAGTTAAATCAATTATCCATCATTTTAGTACAAATTTTACCCAAAACAGTCATCAAAAAGTCACAAAATTTAAGTTTTTCTTTAAAATTTTAGTAAAATTTTGCATTAAATTCACCAACTTCTTATATTTTCCAAAACCTAATAAATTTTCCTCCCTAGTACTTTCTTCCCATAACCATAATAAATTCATACATATATAATGAATTTCTTATTACGTGTTGAAAGAAGAACACGATTACACCCAGAGATGCGATGCGCCATTCATTCTAATGGTCATTTGTCATCGACGCGTTTAGTGACACACCGAACATGCCACACAATCGCGTGTATTACAAAGGTGGAAAAGATATATTGGCCATGTAATTTGTCGGTCTTCGTGTCGCGTCCTCGACCAACAAAAAAAATATACAACAACAAGACAACCACGAATAAACCGCTCGGGTTACTCGCCCGCATATAATTTATATTGTTATACTTTACTGTGCGGCGCAAAAGGGTGTTACGATGTATTAACACATAGTATATTTAATCATAATCATATTATTACTAAGAACTAATTGACATAAATCAATTTCAACGAGTCTTAAGAGTTTTATGTTGAGAAAATGGTAAAAACGTAAAGTCGTGAAGTTTTTTTTGTGTTTTTTGGGTATAAAATCTGAAGTATTGCATCTAGAGTCTTGAAATTTGTTGTAAAATATTAGTAAATACAATGTCTTCAATTTTAGAATGGAAAATGTTAAATTTTTTAAGCAGAAAATGAAAAATTTTGAGTTTTTTTGTTGAAAAAATGACAAAAAAATGAAAATTTTTTAGTTTTGACTTAAAAAATTCTGGTTTTTGTGGCATAAAACCTTAACTATTGCTTGAAAAACTACAAAACTTTTTTAAAAATATAGTTAAATAAAATACCCTTCATTCTGATACAGATTTTAGCCAATTTTTTTACCAAAACACCTGAAAATTCACGTTTTTATGATGATTTTTAGTCAATTTTTGACATAAATCGAAGATTTTCTTATATTTTCAAATATTAAACCCAAAACTTATTAATTTTCTTACTACCACACTATACCCAATATAAAACTGCTTAACACAAATCAATTTCAGCGAGTTGTGTTGATTTAAATCAAAATTCTCCGGATGTTTAAAAGATAAAACCTAAAACTTTGACTAAATGCTTAGTAATGCCTTGATCGATCGATTATTTATTTTATATAAACAGAAAATCCTCGCATTTGGCACGCCTGACCGCGCCGATATCTCATCTCGCCTCGAACGCCCCGAAAAACTTGTTTGAAGAACCGAAAACGTGACGTCACGCACGATAATCGTCTATTTGTTTTAGTCCGCCCGAGCCGCGTGCTGCGCCGCGTTTTCCTCGAAAAATGAGCGTGTCCAGTTCGATTACGTATCCATTAACTTTTTTAATCGCGGTCGCACAAAGCAATGCAAAAACCACGAGACGCAGGAGAGTCAACATCAAGCGCTCTCCGGACAACCAAAAACAAATAATAAACGGTTACACATTTTAATCGTAATCGCGATGCGGGCTGCATAAAGTTTTATTTTTTTCTTGTTTTGTTATGCGCATCGTGCGGCGGATATTATTAAACGCAAATAAATGTCTAAATATCGCGCGAGATGTGATCGCGATCGACATCAATTAATAGCCGTGCGCTCATTAGAAGATAACTGCGCTCTTCGTGCCGCTAAAGTCGACAAACCAGTTTCGGAGCAAAGTTAAATCTCAAATCCAATCAATCATTTATTAACTACATTGCTAACATAAATATTTTACGTAGTAAAATCTCAAATATGTAAATGTAAGCTTTTAAAAGTTTTTTTGCTATTATTGCCATTAGGAAAAATCTAAAATTCGTATCGATTGTGAATCGAGGGGATGCGAATTTTGCAGCGTGTATACATTTCCAATTCATTACGCATCAATTCGTTTTCTTCGTTTTGCCTTCCTTCCGATCGCTTCCGAGGGGGCGCCTTTTAAAAATCCGTGCGCAGTCAAGCGTTTTACGATTTATAGTCAAAAGTCAACGCATTACAAATTCCACAAAATACATAAACATAAATTTTAAGAATAGAGTTGTTTCTGTGACACTCTGTATATTAAAATATAGTGATCTTTGCGGTGGCTTCTGGAAACCGCACTCGGCGCATTTACATGTTCAATAGCAAACAGCAATAAAATCATTAGACCTCCTCTCCGGGGCCGCGCCGCTTGATTTATGAGAGTGTATTTAGAGTGTAATTTATTTGAAGTGGAGGGCCGAAAGGGTGCCAACACATACTCGCGCACACTCATACAAATACGTGGGTATACTAGGGTGGTGAATCAAGGGTTGGGTGGAATGAAAAGTAACCGCTTCGAATTATGTTTTAGACTTGCTGGAGGAAAGGGCTGCGTTCGCATTTGCCTAAACAGCAAAACAGCCCTTTGCAGTTACATGATATGCGATACAAACTCTTTTTTTTTCGTATGTATAACTGGGGAGGTTACATCAACTTCAAATGCGATTTAACATAATGAAACCCTTCATGGTATTTGGTATCTATTAGATTCAAGATGATAATCAGAGTATAATAGCTTACACATGCAAAAATTTTGAATAAGTTTTTTGGGTAGAATAAGTTAAGTAATAAAAATGGTAGAAAATTGATTTAAAGTATGTTGGGAAGGGAATTTAATTGAGATTCATTGTGGTAAAGAGGAATTGGGTAATTGTAATAGTTTTCCGGTAATTGCAAAATAACTGAAAAGTTTTATTTAAAAAAATTATGTTATTTGGCATAAAATCTTAATTATTGCATGTAAAATTTCAAAATATGTTTAAAAATATAGGTAAATAAAATACCTTTTAGTTTTTTTAGATTCTACTGAAATTTTTGATCAAAAAGTCGAAAAAATTAAGTTTTTCTGAGCATTTTTATGTAAATTTTGACATAAATCAAAAAAATTCTTATTTTCTATCAATTATTTTAAGCGTCATAACTTAAGTAATAAAACACGTAAAAAATTGATTAAAACTTTATTAGAAAGAGAATTTAATATAGTTTAATTGCGCCAAGGCGGAAATATGTGCCTTTTATACTTTTCAGCTAATTAAAAAAAAACTAAAACATTATCTATAACTTTCATTGTATTTTTATGGCAATACAAAAATTTTAGCAACTTTCGTAAGCGATAACTTAAGTAATAAAAAACATAGAAAATTGATTTAAACTTTAGTAGAAAGAGAATTTAATGAGGTTTAATCATGCCAAGACGGAAATATGTACCTCTTATACTTTTCCGGTAATAGTACAAAAACTAAAACATTATCTATATCCCTGAAACTTTGCAACACGAAATTTTCTAAAATCGGCTCCATCTACTCCTTTTAGTTTTCATAAACTTAGTAGTTTCCGTGTACATTTTCCCGTCGACACTCAAACGTATTCGCAAAAAGTGGCATGGATTTTCGCGTTTCCTGTAATTACTCTTGCGCCGCATTGCGGCGCGATTACTCCGCATCAACTACATTAGCGCAAGACATTAGCATGATTATTAGCATTGAGATGCAGTTAGGAGCGCATTTAGCACGGATTTGCATAACTAACCTGCGCTGGCACACGTGTCACTTCTGATTTGTTGACGATCCAACACCTAACATCACTCCACTCCACATTATAAAAAAATCAATCAATTATTCAAATAAAATAGGATGTGGCAGTTGATTAACTCAATCAAAAAACAAAACATAAAAATCATTTAAATAGATTTTTATCTTTGTATCCTTCTCAACGTTCTTCCTGTTAACATTTTGTACGTAAATGTTTCTGAATTGATCGTTTGCGTGCTAATATTGCATATACTCGGACATTCACGACGTGTACACAGCTAAACGCTTTGTGGTTACGTTTTTTTCGTCTGCACCCACAACCACCACCCTTGGGTAAAACATAGACTTTAGTTCGGCGGGGTTGTGAGCGGTTTGTGCTTCACGCCGCGGCGAAATTGAAAGTCGGCCGTCGGAAGTGTTTAAGAGGCGGCTTATCTTGGGATAAATAATGTACGTTAAACTACTGCAAGTGCCTTTTGTTTCTTGGCAAATTACCCGGTCTACAAAATCATTTTGAATACTTATTTTCAGCAAAAAATCAAAATAGTAAATTTTTATTTTAGAAAAACCTAAGTTGCAAATTTTAGTTGCAAACATTAGTTGTCAACTTTAGTTGTCAACTTTAGTTGCCAACTTTAGTTGCACTCATAATAACTTTCAAAAAATTATTTTCTGCAAAATTATTGTTGTGCAACTTAAATCATCAACTTTAGTTGCACGTCCCCTGCGTTATTATAATTGATTTTTTCAAATGAACTTAATCTTAATTCTTAATTAAACTAACAAGATAAAAACTCACCGTCGATTTTGATACCACGTTTTCACTTGTGTATCTGTCAGGCTTAATTTCGCCGCCAGCTCCATGCGATCCTGCACGCTCAGATATTTCTGCCGCTCGAAGCTCTTCTCTAGAGTCTGCAGCTGGAGGTCGGTGAAAGCCGTGCGCGCCTTGCGCTGCTTCTTGCTCAAACCACCCCCGGAGCCCTTGGAGGAATTCAACGAGTCGTCGCCGTTTTGACCTGAAACAAACGCGCGCGTTGATTAATTGAAACAAAAGTAGATAAATACGGCTAACGGCGTTGTTGCGCTGCGCTCGCTTCCTGTTTGTCTTGATTATCACTTTAATTCCAACCGACTACTCACTTTAGCGTATAACGGACATCGCATGTGTTTAAATTAATTACCTAATTAATTAGCTAATTAATTAATCAAGTATATTTAAATCAGACGAAGAGAAAGATTTATTTGAGTTTAAATTTAAATTTTAAATGCTTGTGTATTGATTAATCAAAGCGACGTTAAGTTTTGGCGACTTCCGGTTTGGACATTTTCCGGTTTTCCGGCGTGTAGTGGAATTAATTTTACGAGGCGGTTTAGTGCGAGCGTCCATTGTTTCGAGCGTCGCGACGGCGCCGTGACGGGGAGGGTTGGACATTTGCGCCGGAAGCTGGAGCCAATCAGCCGCCTCCGCCGCCGCATCGCGCATTGAACCCCTTAAAATACCCGCCATTGCGTTCATCTCTCTTTCTCCCCCGCACCACACAAACGAAAAACACAGTAGTTAATAAACCGGAAAGTCATAAACGTGTTGCTAATAAACTTTATGACTTAATTATTTAGTAGAATACTCGTACCTACGCTGTAACAATTAAAACCTACAACATTTTATTTTTTTCTTAGTTAAATTTTATGATTTTTGTTCGAGAGTGTGATGGTGATAAGAACGTTTTGTGTTCGGGCGCGGTTTTTAAGCTAATAATCGCGTAATGGCCGTGAGCGCGTTCAATCGCGCACACCTTTCCATCTTTCTGCCACTCGCGCCCACCCCCATTGTAATAGGGCAATTACATTATGAGTGGTTTGCGTGCCGCACGAGCCAGACGGCAATACGCGCGCACTTTGCTAGTTTGTGTTCGTTTTTGATCACTATGTAGTCTCGCTTTACAATTGTATTATATTGCGGCTGCGACACGGCACGAAGAGGGGAAGCGAGATCCCGCGCTGTTGATAAATTGCTCCCCATTTTGCTCGCTGGCCTTTCTTTTTCGTTCGTTGTGCATGTTTCGTTTAATTGTCGTGCGCGGAGATTTTTATTACCGTTACCAAATCGCACGACAACATTTACTAGTAATAATCAACTAAAGTTGCAAATTTTAGTTGCTGAAAATTTAAATTATCAATTTTAGTTGCACGTAACCTCCGTGATTTACAATTTATTCATTGTGTTGATCAATTTTTTGGTAAAAAGTATCAACTGAAGTTGCAAATTTTAGTTGCATCTTCAATAAATTAATATAATTTAAAATTATATGTTTAAAAATTAAAGTATCAACTTTGGTTGCATGTTCCATGCGTGATTTACATTAGTATGCATTGTATTGTTAATCAATGTGATTTTTATTCTTCGTTTTCTTGGTTAAAATGCATTTTTACAATTGTAATTTTGGTTTCGGCCCCGCAGGAATGCATTAAGTAAATACGTAATGAGATTTAAATTATATAGAAATGTAAGTCCGGGCACCATCTGTGAATTTGTATGCGCCGCGCGATTGCCATCTCTGGAAATGCACTTCTATTAAATATTCGAAGCCAGAATGCGCTCGATTGCTCGGGGCTCGGATCATTAACTTAAAAATTGCAAGTAGAGAGAAATTGTATACGCTTGCAGACAATTGCAGTTTTTATTTTTAGTTTCATTTTATGTCTGATGACATTACCTCTACTACCAAATGACTAATTTAATTTTTATTGTTTTACGAATATTAGTGGAATATTATTAGCCACACGGTAGGATTTTATAGGCAGTATGTTTGCGAGAGTTGGGTTTGTTCGCGGGGGTCGCATCCCTCGGGACGTAAGGTCTTCCCGAGCCAACAAACTTAGCCACTTTGCGACGCGCAGCCAATGCGTCTCACGTTTCCGCAATGTGTCGCATAAAACATTCGCACACTCGCACGTCCTCACATCCTCCACCCTCTCTCGCGTTCGGCAAACACTCAACTCGACTTTTCTCCGGCACGTTGCTCGTATGAAAGAGATAAGAGAACTGCATCGAATCGAATAGAATGGATTATGAATGGATTCTCAAAACGGACGAAAAGTGTGCTTTAAGTTAACCCTAGAGTATTAACTGTGTAAATAACACTTTATTTTATATAAATTTAAAGGGTTTTAATTTTTTTTCGATTCAGTGGTTTAAAAATGTTGTTTTTGCATTAGTATGTGGAAAATACTTGGTGTAAAGCATTGTTTTCCACTTTAGGTATGTAATGTAGTTGTGGCAATAGATTCCAGTGTGTAAAACACTGTTTTCTATGCAGATAACGTTGAAAACAGTGCTTTTCGTACTACTAATGCGAAAAACAATGTTTTTGACAATTTCCGTATAAAAAATTGCGTGGAAAATATTTTATTCAATACATTTTGCTCATGTAAAGCATTATTTTCCACTCTAGGTATGTAAAATTTTGTTTCCAGTGTGTAAAACACTGTTTTCTGCACGGATTACGTTGAAAACCGTACTTTTCATGTTTCCAATCTGAAAAACATTGTTTTCTGCATCTCCTGAGTAGAAAACTGTAAAGAAACGACTTGATCTCTCATATTTGGCTTATACACCAACATAATTCATTATTTTCCACTCTAGAACCGTAAAAACCTTGAGTATTCCAGTGTTAAGCCGTCAAAATGTACATTTCTGAGTTTAATACAATTTCGAGTTTTTCTACACATCTCCAACTCGCTGGAGTGTTCACAAAATGCAGTCACACACACACACACACCCACACACACACACCGGGCGTGCATTTGCGTTAATCGAAGTTGGTTGTTTCGCCTCGCCTACGACACCGTGTCACGAAGAACCTGGTGGTCCCTCGAATGCCGCACACATCGGGTGTCGGCCGCTCGCTCCTCTTATCTCTTCACCTGAGCCGAACACAAACAACGTAGTACACCATCATCGCCGTACTGAAACTATTTTATCCATGCTCTCCGAATCCGAGTACCTACTTATTGTGCGTTTTTTCGTGTACACCTTGTATGTTCTATGCCTAGGTGATCGCGCGCCGTCGTCGTGTTCGGAAATCCATTTAAAATTAAAGTCGTGTCGGGCGCAGATAACCGCGCGCCGACCGGTGCCATTGTGTAATTTCGTTTTATCTTAATGTTTTGTTATATGAAAGTATTTATTTAAATTAAGTAAGCATTTCGCACCGGTCGGCCGGTTGGACGCGCAGCGGCTCGTGCGCTCGCGTTGGTATATTCTTCTTGAGTGTGTTGAGTGTGGGCTCTGCCCACGCGACACTTTCAAAATCTAATCCGTGTTTAACGTAGGTATCGCTTTAAAAACGCGTTATCTCGAACCATTCGGATTTATTGCGACAAGTCAACGTTTTCATTCAATGTGGAAAAAGTTTTTTTGCATCGGCATAACTCAAGTGTTTAAAATCTCAGCAACTTACAAAATGTATCAATAAAAAGTCAATTTAATACAGAATACAAATATATTTAGCTATAATTTGTATCTTTTATAGTTTTTACATAATTTATAAAAATATAAAAAAAATCATTTTTTCAAAAAAATTATAAAATCATTAATAACTCAAAAACTATTAGAGATAAAGCAATAATTCTTAGTTTAATAAATAGTATACATAATAAACTATATAACAAACCATAAAATGATTAAATAACATTATTTATTACGCGTAAATATGAAAAAATAGTTTTTTTCGGGTATAAATATGTGTGTTTTGAGCTGTTTGCATTCGAATTTGAATAATTTCGACCGAAACGAATGTGAAACGCAATTTGTACCTCGCGCCAAGGGGTTTGTTTGACCAGACTTTCAGGTAACGCACATAAATCGGCCGCGCCGCCGCCACCGCCGCCCGTCGCCCGTTAACAGTTTGTTCGCGTGCGCCATTTGAATATCAAGCATATCAAAACATAAATAAAACCAGCGTTTTGTAACGTCCACAATCGTCCACAAATCTACACTTTTAATGCCGGAGGCATAAACTCTCATAAAATATTGATAACTGCAAAAAATCCTCAAAAAATCGCTCTGGAACTCAAAATTTAAAAAAAAAATTTAAAAAATTTTTACCAAAGTATTAAATGTAACACTAACTGAAATTCTTGTTTGTTGTTTGACAGTTGTCAAAAAGTTAATCCGATTATACCCTGACAAAATCAACTAATCTTTCCTTCCGGTGCACCCTTGTCAGGTAAACCTAAAAATTTAATTAAATTTAAATCACTTCTGTGGTGAGGCGAAATGAAGCATAAGTTATGCATGCATTGGTGTAGGAAATCAGAATAGAACGCGCCATGATTTATTCACCCGTTCGATTACGGTTGTGTTTCGCCCCCCCCGGCATCGCTTTCGAACACAATAATTTAGATCAACGCGAGCAAAAGACCGCCATTACGCTGGTAAATATTTGATCGGTTCATAATACGCCGGCGTTCGCCGTCATATCACGCATTTCTGACCTTAAACGCGAGCACAACGCAAACACTCCGCCACAACCACCACCCCCACGTGTGTGGTGTGTGCTATCCACCCGCAAATAGCCTGGTATTACGCCGGTGATTTATTTACATTCAACTCACATCGCAAACAATGTAAAACAATCAATGTCCGAGTGGATAAATAACAAATATTTACGATTTAGACTATGATTCGAACGCACGAACGTTCAGTTTTATTTTATTTGATTTTAAGTGGTGTGCTGGGGAAATATATAAATTGAAATTTAATTTTTGAAATGTGATAAGCCTATAAGCGGATTATAAAGTTACCTACCCTTCAGGGCAGCGAATGGTGGAATTAAGACTTGACACCTTTTTTTTTCGGTTGTGAATAAGCTCGTTGAGTGCCTACCGGTGTTGAAAACCAGATGAGCAGATGATGCAGATGAGAATTTTTATTTATAAATCAGATTGTTCAGAATAGTTTGTTTTTTATTTCAAATTTGAATGCAAACAAATCAAAACTTTAATATTCTTACTGAAAAATTTAATAATTTTTAGTTTTTTTGAGATTTACGCGTAATAAATAAAGATAAGAATTTGTTTAATGATTTATTATATAGTTTATTATATTGTTTATGTATTAAAACAAGAATTATTGCTATATCTCTTTTAGTTTTTGAATTATAACAAATTTTGTAAAAAAAAATTTCAAAAATTTAATGAAATCGTTTACTTTTTTGTAAATTAAACAAAAACCATTCAAGATAAAAATTATTGCTAAACATATTTATATTAAGCATTAAATTCTCTTTTTATTGATATATTTCGTAAATTCCTGGGATTTTAAACTTTTGAGTTATCCAAGGCTTAAATATGTACTTAATGATCTTCCGCATCATTTTTTACAAAACCTCATATAATGATTATTAAATTGGCCAATTTGACAATTGTCCAAGCATAATACTTACAAACCACACTAAAACATTCCGTTTGAGGGTGTTACACATCCAAATAATTATATTATAAATAACTGTAACAATTTATTTATTTATTGGTTCTGCTTCCAAACCTCAACGCGTAAATCTAATTGGCGTGAATGATTCGTTAATATTTTATTTCATTTTATTCTCTATACATTTTCTGTGTCACAATTGCCGCAATTTATTTAATGGTCCGAAAGTTTGATCCGCTGATTCTTTTATAATTTTCCAAAACAAATACATCCATACATTTATATCCCCGGCGTAATTGAGTAAATTGTGCGTAATTTGTGTGTGTCTAGCGCAGAATGAAAAAAAAAACGGTTTAAAACTTTTAAAAAGTTGAATATCTATGTAATGTCCGACTTCCGGCTAATCTCCGCCTATTATCTCCGACGTCGATGTCGATGTTGATAGAATTCCTTCGATTGTGAAAGGTTTTAGTCATACAAATGGGATTAGCTGACTTTTATTTTGCAACCGTGGGGTTAAATGAGCTTTTTGCACATTATGTGCATTTTTGTTGGCTTCGCAGACAAAACACAATGCATCGAAGCCTAGCAAATATGAATTCAAATACTGTTTGTCCCCATTAAATTACTTATCACACAGATTTTTCCATTTTTTTGTATTTTTTTTCTGTTTTTTGTATTTCTAAGTTGTTAATGACATTAATGTAGTTATACACTCGCTGGAATGTGTTTATTATACGTACACACTAATTTATCCCTCGTTTGATGGCTGGTGTGTTATTTTTTCGGCTTGCCGTGCGTTTTACATACATTACACGAATATTTATCGAGTGCATAATATAAAGCGAACATGAGATCTCGAAATCAGTGCCGACTCGTGCACATCTACATAAATATGCCCGAAATAAATTTTCTGATGTGCGTTACAACTAATAACAGTTTGGGAATGTAAATATACGCTAAATGCCGCGGCTTGGACTCTGTGTGTTTGTTTTTTTTTCACCACCGGCGCGCGTTAATGGTGGTGATTTTTTTGTTTTTTTTCGTGCTACGCATGAATATTTATTCGATTTTTTTCGGGGGTTGAATAAATACGCTATTAAGTCAATTCACACTCGTCACGATAACGACTCATAAATATTAGATAGATAAATAATTACACAAATTGTTAAGTAAAAAAGTGAGGATTTTTTTTGTTTTAAATTTGAGGTAAGTTTGAGTGCGTATAACTCAGCTAATTTAAATCGTAGATTATTGAGCAAAACTTTATTTGAAAGACAATTTAATATAGATTAAGAGTGTAAAGTATAAGTTTAATTAGTCAATTAGTTTTTTTGTTATTGTTGATTAAGTAAACAAAATCATTAATACACCTTCAAAAAACATAACCTAAATTAAAATGCCTATAACTTTTTAACGAAAAAAGATACAAAATCACTGTTTATATAAAATAATAAACAATTTAATAGAGAATATGAACTTTTTTAAACCATAACTCTACCTCTTATTGTTCTCGAGTAATCAATTAAAAACTGTCACGAATCACACTCGCGCACTCACATGACGTAATAAAACATTCTTATTATAACGGTTGACGCTCGTATGATGTAGTTTGTACAGTAATTATGGAATGTTTAATTTTAATTCTCTTTACAGGAGCAGAAGCATCAACAGCAGAAAAAGCGCAGCGCAGCAAGAAGGTAATAACTCATCGTATTTATTTATTTATTATTGTTGCGGCTTAATTATCGTCGAGCGCGGCGCTGGAAATTAACCGGCTATCCATAAATCATCTAATGCATCGCGTAATGCAATGCATACGCTTTGCGAAGACAAAAGACGCGCTGAGAAACAGGAAGAACAATATCAAAAACGGAATAAAGTGCATTAAAGTGCATTAATACCTTCGGCGATTCAGTTCATGCGAGCACGACGCATCGCCGGATTCACAACATTTTCTTGGTGCGCGCGACGCAAACGAGAGCAATTCGAATCGAGTTATAACTAATAGATTCGCGAGCGGCGAGCGGCAAGCACCGAGATGCGAGCGGTTGAGATTAATTTAAGTTTAGTCTAAACGCACGCGTGAGATTACATTGTTTTCGAGGTATACCACCATAACTATCGACATTTGTCGTAAAGTGTTGAAACTTTTTAGTTTTTTTCTTAATTACTCCTAAAGTAATTAAGATATTTTAATAATTTTTCTGGGAGTTTGTTTAGTATTAATTTATGCATCTTTTCGTGCAAAAATTTTGTTGTTATCACTTTTTTATCAAAAGTTACAGGCTATTTTTGGGTAATTTTCTAAATGTTACAAAAGTAAACTTTAATTGTTTATAACTTTTAGTATATTCATCCGATCAACAAATTCTTTACTTAATTTTATGTAGAATTTATCCCCAAAACAACTTCTGAAAGAATAATTAGTTTATCTTTAACAGTTTTTAAGTAATTACCAAAAAACTGATTGTTTTCAATTATTCTTCACTCGCCACAACTAAATATCCATTACTTGGCTGTTAAAGCACTAAATTGTCAAAACTTATCAAATTAATTCATTGCTACATAAACCACGGCTTTGTTCCGGCAAGTTAACGTCGTGCTAAGGTCGAAAAAATTAAGTTTTGTAACCATACGACGATTAAAATAAACGCGCAATTAATTCGTTTAAATACTTTTCAGTTTCAACGTTCGAATTTAAATTTCTGTTAATTTTGTTATATTTTTTCAACTTACATGGTCTGCACATGTAGTGTGTGGTGTGTTGCATGACGACGATTATTTAATTAATTGAAATTACGCAAGTGAGCGCAGCAAGAGCGAGATAACAATGGCGGACGACCGGCGAAAGATCCGTATGTGTGTGTATAAACGCGCGCGCAATATAAAAAAATTAATTAACCTGATGATGTCCGCATATTGTATATTGTGTGCGGAGTCTTCGGTGCTTCCACGTTCTAGCGAGTTTGTTGTGTTGTGCGATTTAAATGCTTCACTTTCCTGCTCTTTCCTTCGCGGATCGCGGAGCGCGCGCGCACAGCAGGCTAATGAATTTGTTATATAAAAAATAATAATTTAACGCCAACTTGCCGATTACAATTTACAATGCGTACGTAATACTTGGTAAAAAAATGCAGAAAAACTTATATCATCACGCTCATTGTCACTATGAGTTAATATTTTGTGTAACGGTCTAAAAAGTGCAGAAAGTTTGATTCTTTTTAGTTTCTTGTATATTACTCAAAAACCAAAAAAGATAGAAATTATTTTGTTGCATAGGTAGATAGAGGATTAAATTCTGAATTAATTGATATATATTTCATTATTGTAAACTTTTTAGTTTGTTTGTTACTAAACAAAAAGGTGAAAAATATAAAAATTTCGGAACTTTGTTTTCTTTTGACTGTAACAATTAATTCAATAACTTTTCAAATTAATTTTTTACGTCATGTTATAGAGAATTTAACGTAGATTAATATGGTAAAAAGAAAAATGATTATATCTTTATTAGTTAAAAAGTTATTAACAATTTTTTGCTGAGAAAAGTATAGCTACAAAAGTTAGACCGTTATTCTTTATATATTACACATAACAAAAAAAATTCAAAAATTTATGTTTTTTGTTACATTTTCTTTAATAACTCAAAAACTAATTACGTTGAAACAATTTTGTTTGTAAATATACATTCTCAATTAAATTCCGCATCGTTCCATATGATTATTTAAACAAATTCACCAATATTTTGTTTGTTATAACAAAAAAAACTTAAAAACCTACAAAAAAATTAGTCTCAACTAAATTCCAAGTTATTTTCCTTAAAAACTCATATTACTTGCTTGCTTTTAAAAAGTTTTACAGTGAATTTAAGTATTTACGTAACGAAATATCGTCGCATCGTCATCGTGATAGTCATTGTTTGCCTTGCGCATTCGTCGCGCATGTAATACACCTCCTCATCTAATGAGCGCTTTATACTTATACGATCCCGAAGCCGAAAGCTAACGAAGCCGCAGCTGAAAGCACACTCTCTACAAAAGTGTGTGTGTGTGAGTAGTTAAAGATCTTTTAAGGTTTGTTGAACGACGAGAGCGGTGTCGGACAGAAGTCGACGAAGCAGTTCATTGTTCTGCGAGCAACATCGCGAGCAAATTCCCCATTGTTAAATTAGTATGTGTTACAAATTAAAACGCAAAGAAATGGCCTCTTCCGGTTTTTATACGTATTATGCGCGCACAATGAACGCGCGCACGGCGCATCAATGATGAAATAGATTATAAACTAGACACAAAGCTAACTAAACACAAACTCCAGCTGAAAGAGCGTAAAGCAGGTCGCTGAGATGGATAATTATAATTAGTTGTTTCGTTTACGTTGGCATCCAGTCTTAAATCATCATTTAAAGTATTAATAAAATTATATCCTTAAGCTTTACCGCGGTAATTGGGGATTAAATTATGATTGGGAATATTTCATGCTTGAATGCCTGATCAATTCATTATTTTAGCACCTCGTTAATGACAAGTAATGGCTAAGCAATATGCGCGGCAATAAATTTCCAATAAGATAGGAATTTATCGCCCAATTGAGCAACGATTCCGTGCGACACATTTGAAATGGATTTGTTTCAAACGTATTTGAATAATATTGCATTGACGTAAATGATAATAAAATAAATATTCCATAACGCTTGTCTAGTTGGAACTACATTAGTTTAGTTTGTGTTTATGCGCAATAATATAAGTTAAACTATTTGTTAATATTTAATGCTTAAAATGCATTAAAATGTGGAAATTTTGTATGAAAAATTGATTGAGCAAAAATTTTATTGCGCATAGTTAAGTATAGCGGTCTAAAATATTCAAAATTATAATTTTTAAGTCTATTAATTAATTACTCACAAAGTATTAGTGATAACACGTTTATTTTTTTAGTATTATATTTATTGGTTTACTAGGAGTTGGAAAATATTTTTTTGTTGTTAAAAATGTTTTTATTTGATTAATTAGATGTAAATTCGTGTTTAATTATGATAAATCTAGAAAAATCCTTTTAATTTGTTTTGTGTTAAGATTTTTCTTTATATCTTGATAAATATTGATTAAATGTTTAATTGTTAATAAATTGTCAGTTGATTCAGCTCAATAGCACTAATATTTCGTGAGTTATTAATTAAAAACTATGACAAATCCAGGTTTTTGGAGGTTCAGACCGTCGCATGTTAAAAAATCAAAATTAAATGTTTTCAACAAGTTAATAATTAATTACTTAAAAACTACTTGAGATATCTTAACAACTTTTTCAGTATTGTATTCGGTAATTATTAGTTCTTCTACATGTATTTTTGTTATGAACAAACAAAAATTATTTAAACAATTATAAACAATTTTGTGTAAAAGTTACAACATCATCTAAAAAACGCTATAATTAGAATTATTTAACCTTTTATACACAATTCTTCATAAATTTATATAAACAATTTAATACTAAATTACCTGCAACTTGAATTTTCCTTTTATCTCAATTAGTTTTCAAGTAATTAAATAAAAACCCTCAAAAAAACACGCTTAAAAGCCAAAGTTGGTGAATATTTACCGTTTGAGCATACGCTGGAGTTATCAGGATGTCCCGAGCTGTCCGTATCGCTATCATGGTGCAGCGGCGCCGAATGCAGGGATAAATCTCGCGGCCCCGGCGACGGCGAGCGGCCGCCGCCGCCGCCACCGCCTCGCAATTCCGGCGGCCCGCTCAAAATATCCGTAATCATAAAGCGGGAGCGCGTCGACGCCGTCTGCGGCATGGCCCGCGCCTCGTCCTGAACGGTCATGCCAGCCACCGTTATGGCGGGACTCACCGTGTCGCTTAAGCGCAACACCTTGAACACCGACACTTTGACCGCGCACCAGAGTCAATCAATCCCACAAAAAAATACAATCCAAAAACTCAGTTATTACTCAGTCATTTAAAAATCCAAGACACAGCAAATTATTCACACAATCAAGAAGTCATGGAATAAATAAAAACAGTTTATTAGCACACTGATTAACACCCTTTTAGATCACTTAGTTGGGTTGGTCGGCGACGGCTTAAGGGATGATGATGATGCGCACACGTTTGTCGTCGTTGTTCTTCCGCATGCGTGAACCGTGTTTGTGTAGGTGTTTAGTGTGTGAGTACACTGCGGTTGGGTTCGTGCGGCGAGCGAGACGTTTCGTCGGAAACTAATCCGCTGCGAGGCCGAACACCACTGCTCGCGAGCCGCACAGCCATGTTGGGCCTGAGCCCCACCACGATGTGGGACTAATCCGCTTCGTCAACCAATCGCCACACGGTGGAATACGGGCGCCGCCAATAATCACGAGCGCGTTGGGCGAGATTAAACGGGCGAGGCTGGACGGATTAGGTTGTACACCCTCTGGATGGGTGGGGGGAAGATGAGGACTTGCTACTTGTACTTTGCTTTCATCATCATATCACAATCAGGGCAAAATTTATGTCTGTTAAGAGTATTTACGAAAAAATTTAGTAAAAATTTGCTTTTTTTGATTTTTATGGTGTTTTTCACATTGGTGGGTGGAAAACATTGTTTTCGAGGATAGGTGATAAGAAAAGTGTTTTTTTATCAGATATGAAATGAAAATTGTATTAAAAAATTATATTTCGATAAAAGTAGAATCGATTTAGTAAAAATTTATTTTTTGGGTTTATATTAATTGTTTTCCACACGGGTATACGGAAAACATTGTTTTCGACGCTACTTCATCAGACAATTGTGTTTTCCGACATATAGAAGATGAAAATTGTCTTAAAATAGGATTCTAATAGGATTAATTTGGTAAAAAAAATATTTTTGACTTTACATCTCTTGTTTTCCATATCGCTGTACAGAAAACATTGCTTTCTACGCTAGGTCAACAAAAAACAGTAATTTTTCCAAATATGAATTGGAAATAGTCTAAAAATGAAATTTTTATAAGAAAATTTAGATTAATTTAGTAAAAAAACAATTTTCTATGTTTTACAAAAATTGTTTTTTACACCGGTGTTCGGAAAACATTGTTTTCAACATTACATCAACAGAAAACAATGCTGTTCGTCATAATTTTCATGAAAATACTCTGAAAATTAGATTTTAATTGTTTTAAAATGATTAGTTTAGTAAAAATTCATTTTTTGCTAATCTGATACTCAAAAAAAGTGCAACGTACATTTTCCACCCTTATATTTAGTGGTGGTAGAGGGTGTATGGAGGTACTTGTATCACGCACACGCCCGGTAAGTGAGTGCTTATAGAGCGGCGCGTTCACAAGTAGGAAAGGAAACAGATGGTGTCACTGTAACAATTAAGCCGAAATTAAGCCCTCTTTTGCGGGGCGAGTCAGGCATGAGTGGTTTTGCACACTCGACACTCATTCACACTCGTTCACTCGTTCAATCCTTCACTCATTCAATAAGTTTTATTTTTATGCATATGTAACTACAAATATCTACTTAAGTATCAAATAGTTTATTTTTATTTTTAGGTTTTAATTTTTAACTTTTTTAAGTTTAACTTTGGTAAGCTGATTGTTTCATTAGCATAGCTATAAAAACCTTAACGCGTTGTTAACTTTTATGGCCAAACAGTCGTTATATCTCAACAAGTTTGCATATAACTATATAATTTAACTTTAAGATACGTTTACAAACAATTATGAGTCAAATATTTCAATTTGTATTTTTTTGTATGCTTGTATGTTTGGCTATCTATTTTTATTTTTTGTGGCTATTGATTTAGTGAGTTTTTTGTTTTTTTTTTTGCGTATGAAGTTGCATATATTATGATAGAGGGTAACATATGTGCTTGGGCGTTTAAAATACTTACTGCAGAAAACTATTATGAAATTTAATTAAACGGTTTTTATGCTTATGCACGTTTTGCACGCCATTTGGTGGTCACCGGTCATAAACCGACTAATGTAAGTAGTAAGTATGTACGAGTATGTGTGAGTAAACACTGCGTTTAAGTATTTTAGTTTACTTTACTTTACCGACCACAGTTGACAGTTGGGCTGCAATTATCTAGGCAACATCAATTACTAACCGATATTGTTGCCTAAATCTATTTTATAACTAATTTCCTCAAATTTATGACAAAAACATTGTTTTTTATTGAAGTAGCGTTAAAAACAATGTTTTCCACACATCTATGTGGAAAACCATTGATGGAAAGCACTGTTTTCCACTCTAGGCATTAAAAAATCAAATTTTACTTTAAATTTTGAGGTTAAAACCTCCAAAAATAACAATTTTCAGTTAAATTATTCTTAAAAATAAGTTCCAGTTGAAATATAACCACCAGTATAATCGTTTTATGGGAGAAAAGGGAGAAAATTGAGAACAGGAACCGAGGGCGCATTATCGCTCCGCAACCAAGTGTGCACTGTGTGTGAACGAGTGCGTGTTATCAGATAATCAGATATCGCATCAAAAATGCTTGTGTTTAGGGTGAGTTTAGATACGACACCGACAAGCCATACATCTATACATTAGATTCTATTACCCATTACTATTTCCTAACCATTTCTATTACAACAATCAGGAAATAATTTTTATTCCATAAAATATAAAATATAAAATCATATTTATTGCATTAATCAATACTTTATATAACACTGAACAATATCTATCTAATACCAACCTAAGTAGGTAACTTATAACACATTACACATTAACACATAATACGATATTTAAATTCAAATTAATTGCCATTACGATTGTTCATTGTGTTAATTAGACGCGTACAGATTGCGAATATTAAATTAAAGCGAGTGTAAGCTATGAAATAATGTGATTTGTGAAGAGTAGCTATATGCGCATGCGTGTAGCACACCTTAGAAAAGACGCAAGGAAAGCAATTTGCATTTTTTACACGCGGAAGTGTTAGGAATTAATTAATTACTTAACGTTAGATTTTTCTAACATTACCTGTGTGTAAATGCGTATTATTGTTATATTTTTTGCATTAAAATGTTGTTAATTTATGTGTAGCACATATTGTTTGCGATTTATTATGAATATTAATGGATAAAATGATCTAATACGGAAATAGTGCCATTTTGTATTGTTACAAGCGTCATCTAGCGGCAAATTTATGAAATATTTTTCTATTTTTGATTTTTATGATCAAATAGTTTTTCAGTTATTATAAATTTTAATATTTAATGATCTTATACGAACAGTTTACCATTTTGTATTGTTTGTAGCGACATCTATCGGCAAATTTTTAATTTTTTACTTCTTCTGATTTTTTTTTTTATGATTTAAGTAGTTATGAATAACTATAACTATAACATTGGTTCACTCTCGTATAACGGACTTTCACCGTTTAAATAATAACGCAATTAGAATGATCTTAATGCCTGCGCAGGGAGACGCGCGCACAGTGTTCACGCTTTCAAGCACAAACAAAACTTATAGGAATTGGTATAGACAATCCATCCATCCATCTCGCTCACGTCAGCCACAAATTCGTAGCTCCACTTTTGTTTGTCTGTTTGGCTGGCTTCTGGTTTTCTGGTTTTGTGTGTTCCTCAAAGCGCTCGAAATATAAAACTAAAATTAAAGAGGTTGTGTGTGAGTGATGTAATGCATTCATTCAACAATTCAACAAAACGTTCTTTCAAAGTCACTTTTCGGCGTGAGCGCAGCCAGTGTGCTCGTAATTGTTATAATACACTAGTGTAACGATGGCGTAATGTGTGTTAGTTATACGCGCGGATATAGGTATATAAAAGCACTTTGATGCGGAATGTAATTATAACAATTTTAATTGTTAGCATGAATTAGATTCTAACTACACGCTCGGATTATCGGCGGCTATTAGGCATATTACATGAGTAAATGTTTATTGTGTCACGAGGGGCAGAATTATGCAATGTGGTTGATCAAATTTTGAATTTGTAGGAATAAATTGTGAAAATATGATTATTAAGTCATTTTGGTGTGTAGTTGGTGGCCTAAATATATTTTAAGACTGCGGTGTAGAAAACACTGTTTTCTATACACCGGTGTGGAAAACAGTTCATGAAAATCTTCGTTTTTTATTTTTTTAACTTTGAATTTCTGAATTATTCAATAAATTAATCAAAATTTTGTTTCGGTACGAATTTTTTCTAGAAATTTGATAATTTACTGACTTAAACAATAATTTTAATTATTTCTAACCTATATTTAGGTATATTTAGTTGCCTACATTTATTTTAAGGCTATTTTCATCAGATAATGTCGAAAAACACAGTTTTCTGTTGATGTAAGGTTGAAAAGTAAATGAAAAGTATTGTGAGTATGTAATTTTCAGAATTATGCAATAAATTTCATGAAATTTCGTTTCGTGTTGAGTATTTTCTGAAAATATCACGGTTTATTGACTCGAATAATAATTTCAATGATTGAATGGACGTTAGTGAGTAATTTTTCGTTTTTTATTGCTTGTAATATCTATTGTTGGCGATTGAATATTACGGTGTGCGATCATCGGTTATTGACACGGTTATTGACTGCAATAATTCCACTATTTAATCATAGACATTTGCTGTTTCTTTACTGGAAGTTTGCCATTCACGATTTTCAACTCACGATTAATTCATTTCGCTGCATTTCCATTCATTTTAAAATAAAATAAAACAAAACAAAATAAAATAGAATTACCTAACTGTATCTTTGCATTACAATGTGTATTATTTTATTCTGATTACAAAAGACTAATATTTATATTTTTCATTATATCAAAGTAATAAAAAAACACAATTTAATATTTTATGTTTATTTTTATAAAACCTCTGCGGGTTTGAGGCATTTATCGCGTTTTTTTTGTGATCAGTGTGACTGAATTATGAATTTCTAATATTCTAATTAATTCAATTCAATTATCTAAGTTGTAAGTTTGAACATGGTCGTGCGTTGACGCGCGCACCCGTCGAATGAAAAATATCAAAATAGAATAAAAAAGCGGCGCGGTGATAAAGCAGGCGCGCGCGCAAGCATTCTTAATTTGTGTCCATAAAGGAGGCCATTACCGCGCGCTTAAAAACTGAATTTAGTTATCTCTACGCATGGCTGCTTCTTGGCCGGATAGGTAGAGTGTTTTTCAATTATTTCTTTAGTGGATTTAGTCGGTTCTATCTGTTAGGTAAGGTGTGAACATGCATAGTGTGAACACTAAACGA